ATTTGCCCATTCCCATCCATTTTAGTTCATTGATTCCTAAAATGTCAGTGTTTACTCTTGCCATCTGCTTGACCACGTCGAATTTACCTTGATTTACCTTGACCTAACATTCCAGGTTCCTATGCAATATTATTCTTTACAGCATCAGACTTTACTGGCACCACCAGACATATCCACAACTGAACATCATTTCCACTTTGGCCCATCCTCTTTTATTCTTTCTGGAGCTGTTTCTCCACTCTTCCTTAGTAGCATATTGGACACCTACTGGCCGGGGTGGGGTGGGGGCTCATCTTCCAGTGTCACATCTTTTTGCCTTTTCATACTGTTCATGGGGTTCTCAAGGCAAGAATACTAAAGTGGTTTGCCATTCCCTTCTCCAGTGGACCATGTTTGGTCAGAACTCTCCACCATGAACCATCTATCTTGGGTGGCTGTGCATGGTGTGGCTCATAGCTTCATTGAGTTACACAAGGCTGTGATCCATGTGTTCATTTTGGTTAGCTTTCTGTGATTGTGGTTTTCTTTCTGGAGGCTGTGGAATTGTAGTTCTTGCTTTTTCTGTCTACCCTCTTCTTGATGAGGATAAGAGGCTTGTGCAGGCTTCCTGATAGGAGGGACTAGCTGTGGGGGAAACTGGGTCTTGCTCTGATGAGCAGGACCATGCTCAGTAAATCTTTAATTCAATTTTCTGCTGATGGGTGGGGCTGTGCTTCCTCCCTGTTAGTTTTTTGGCCTGAGGCTGCCCAGTCCTGGAGTCTACAGGCTCTATGGTAGGGCGAAAGGTGACCTTTAGAAGGACTTATACCAACGTGTGCCTCCCAAGACTGCTGTTGTCAGTGCCCCATCCCAGCAGCAGGCCACTGCTGACCCATGCCTCCATAGGAGATCCTCTAACACTCACAGGCAGGTCTGACTCCGTCTCTTGTGGGGTCACTGCTCCTTTCCCCTGGGTCCTGGAATGCACAAGGATTTGTTGGCACCCTTCAAGAGTCTCTGTTTTCCCCAGTCCTGTGGAAGTTCTGCAATCAAATCCCACTGTCCTTCAAAGTCAGATTTCCTGGGGATTCCAGTCCCTTTGCGAGATCCCCAGATTGGAAAGTCTGATGGGGGCCTAGAACTTTTGCAACAGTGTAAGAGTTTTTTTGGTATTGTTCTCCAGCTTATGGGTTGCCCACTCAGTGGGTATGGGATTTGATTTTGACGTGATTGTACCCCTCCTACTGTCTCATTGCAGTTTCTCCTTGGTCCCGGGATGTGGGGTATCTTATTTTGGTGGGTTCCAACTCCTGTCAATGGTTGTTCAGCAACTAGTTGCATTCTGGGTGTTCTCACATGTTAACCAAAAGGATGCACAATGTGAGAGTTGTAAGTTATTAAGTTTCACTTGGGGCAAAATGAGGACTACAGTCTGGGGGACAGCATTTCGGATAGCTCTGAGAGACTGCTTCAAAGGAGGGGGGAAGATCAATATATAAGATTTTGGTAAAGGGGGAGTTCAATGCAAACCAATGCTTACTTTACAAAAGGTTTTCTGCTAGTCATGAGGAGCTGATGTTCACCAAGAAGGGATTGAGTGATTTTCTAAATATGAAGAGATACAAGGATTGGGATCATGAAATCAGTTCCTGAAAATACCCAATGATTTAAAGATCTACCCCATCAGTTTCCCTAGAGCACAGAATACCTCACTCTCCACCCTGAACTCCCCCCTCAGTGGATATTGAAGGTCAGCAGCTGCAGCAGCATAGGGTTGAATCTCCACAGACCCAGATGGCAAATGCTTTTGTTGTTGTTGTTCAGTAGCTAGCAAATGCTCTTGGCAGGTGCCAATTTGTAGTTGACACACAGGAGAAGATGAGCACACATCCTTTTACTTTGCCATCTTGTTAACGATGACTTCATGGCAAATCACTTCATGGTCCCATCACTTCATTGTAGATAGAGAAAATGTGAAAACAGTAATTCATTGGAAAAGACCTTGATGCTAGGAAAGATTGAAGGCAAGAGGAAAAGAGGTGGTCAGAGGATGAGATAGTTAGATAGCATCACTACTCAATGGGTGCAGATTTGAGCAAACTCCAGGAGATAGTGAAGGACAGGGAAGCCCAGTGTGCTGCAGTCCATGGGTTTGCAAAGAGTTGGATGACACTTAGCAACTGAACAACCTTAACAAGGGTTGTCAGATCTCATATTAAGATGTGAAATCTTCATGAATGCTGTGGTGAACACCATTTCAGAGCTCATGGTGTAGTTCAAGAATTCAGATCGTTGGAGAGACTATGGAGGAAGATCCTAAATTACAAAGATTTGCTGCTGCCAGTTTTTAACTTAAGTCAATGAATTAAGTCAACCTGTATATAATAAAAATGCCAAAATCCTGCATCTGGTTGAATGGGGGGATGAGGAGAAAAGAGTTAAGCTTTATTTCTCTTGTTTACTCACCCTGCCCTGTAATGCCTGTAATCATGAAAATGAAATAAATCGTTCCATTTATTTAGTTTCTATCATTAAAAAAAAAAAGCACAAAAAACACTGCAGAGGAATGGATGAAAATTAAGAATGAGTTTTTCAAAGAAAAGGAAATTCCTATGACTAAAGCCATGTACAACATGCGTATTCAGGAAATGCCAGTATCCCAACCCTAGCTGGCAAACAACCCAACACTAGCAAACAATAGTAAGTCTGACCACACCGTGAGGCCAGCATCCACATGATCTCACATACATTCCTGGCGGGGGTGTAAACTGGTGCTGCTGTTTTGGGGAAAGCCTGGCACTACTCCTCCCCAGCTCGTGCAGTCACATACCCTTTGACCCTGCAGTCCCTCTGCCTGTTGAGAGAGAGAAAGGACACAGAGACAGAGGCCAGTGAGAACCCTAGTATCAGAGGTGATCAAAGAGGCTGGCTGTGGGTGTAGCTTTCCCATGCAAGAGATATTTAAATCAACGGAAGACTCATGGGTGAACCTGTGATAAAATGATATTCAAAGGGCCAGTGAACATTTTAAAACATGCTCAGCCTCATTAGGCAACCTCATTAGGCACAGAGGAAGCCACTGTGAGCACAACAAAGTGTCCCCACATCTTCACTACAATGGATTAAATGTTGAGGAGGATGTGAAGCAACTGGAATTCTCATGTGAAGCTTGCGGGTATAAATTTATACAATCACTTGGGAGATATGTGACTTTATACAAAAAGACCCAGCTGTTGTATTTCCAGGCACATACTCAACACAAATGTATATAAATGTGCACTACAAGCCAGGTACAGAACACATCTCCTGCTGTGTGATACGTAAAAGAGCTGTGAAGACGGTAGATCAAAATTCTCACCAAAAGGAGATTTTTTCCCCTTTCCTTTTATTGTACTATGTGAGACAATGGATGTTAACGAAATCTATTGTAATCATTCGCAATGTATCTAAATCAAACCATCATGCTGTATACCTTAAACTTGTACAATGATGTATGTCAATCTTTTCTCAAAAAAAAAATATTTGGAAAAAACAGAAAAGAATGCTCATAGCAGTACAGTTGACAATAGCCAGACTCACGCAATACCTTACATGTCCCCCAGCAGATGAATTGTGATATATTCACCCAGTGAAGTCTTATGTAGCAATGAAAAAAAAACATACTACAAATATACACAATTTGGGTGATTCTTGAAATATAATCTTTAGCTAAAGAACCAGTCTCAAAAGAATATTTTCTGTGAGACTCACTTATAAATCTCAGAGCAGACGAGGCTGGTATGAGGTTTGGGGAAGAGAGGAGTGACAGGCAAGGACACAGGTGCTGGTCAGGTCCTATTTGTCCATCAGAATGGACATCACACCAGTACGTTCACTCTGGGACAATGCATCACTCCTATACTTAGGACTTGTGTCTTTTCCTGTATGTTTGATACATTTCAGTTCAAAGTGCACATTTAAAGGAAGAGATTTAGGAGAACCGACTGAGAGAGGTGAATGGAGAGGGACAGAAAGAGTCTAGAGTGATGCTAAGGTTTTGGCCTGTGTAACCAGGTCACTGGAGTTCCCTTTCCTGAGATGTCAAAGAGCAGAAGAAAAGCTGGCCTGGGTGGGAGAGGGAAGATCAAGTTCAGTCTTAGACAGGCTGTGAAGGAGATGCTGAGCAGACTACCAGGGAGGATATCAAGAACCCACCTACATAGTCAAGTCTGGAGCCCAGGGGAAAGTCAGGCTGGAGATGCTGTTTGGAAGTTAGTCCTGTAGACAGACTCCAAGGCCTTGAGCCTGGGTGAAGTCTCTGCGGGAGAGAGGAGGGAGGATCCAGGGACAGAGGGGACAGGAGGGCCCTCAAACACTTATCCTGGTGAGGAGTAAGAGCCACCATGGAGACCCAGGGACAGCCAGAGGAGCAGGGGGGAAACCAGGTGAGTGTGGTGTCCACAGGCCAAGTGGTTTCGAGGAGGAGGGAGGGACCAACTGTGTCTGAGGCTGCTGAGAGGTCAAGATGAGGGCTGAGAATTGACCATTGGATTCAGCAGTGTGGAGGCCACTGGTGAACTTGTCAAGGGCAGTTCCACAGGACAGGAGCTGTTACTGTATATTTGTGGAGGGGAACAGTGGACATGGAAGAAGAGGGGAGACAGCTACTGCAGCCAAGTCACTGGGTAGATGTGGAGGACAGAATTGCCCTATACTTAGTGCTTGACCTGTCAAGTGGAGGACAAGATTCAAGCAAAAAGAGAAAGCTATGTGGAAGATAAGGTATTGCCTGAGGAGGCAAATGTCCTTCCCTTCCTCCTTCCTTTACCTGACTCCAGGGCAGGTGGGTTCAAAGGTTTCTCCTAGGAAACAGATTCCTGCCAGGGTGAGGGCAGGGAACCATAGGCTGGGCCAGGTGGGGTGTGGCACCCTCCTCCCTGACCACTAATGCTTACTCAACCTCTGGCAGCAACAAAAACCAGTAGGTGCCTCAGACCACAGCAGAGCTCAGAGAAACGTGTGGAATCAACCAAAGAGACAGCATGGTGAAGTTCGCACCCTTGTCCGTGCCGTGGGAGCGCAGACTGCAGACCTTTGTGGTTCTGCAGTGGATTTTCTCCTTTGTGGTCCTGGGTAAGGCGGGCTGGGCTGGGGGGACTGGAGACCATAGGATTCTCCATCTCATCTGCTGGCACCATACCAGTTAGGAATGGCTCCCCCCAGGGCTAGTATTCAGCCTGTGGACAGACCCTACTAGACTGGGGTTAAAATATGGACATACACTGTACAGGCTCTGAAATGGTCAATAGCCATTTCACACACTCACAAACAAACATGCATACACACACGCATGCATGTACCTTATATATTACCCCATGTCCTCCCTCAGAACTTCCCTAAAATTTTGCAGCTAAAGCGTTTATCCCCAGGAAAGCAAGAAACCCAGTTCTCTACCGCTGGCATCCTTGATGACTGACTTGTGTCTCTGCTCTAGAGGTTGTTGAAACATTTTAAATGTCCCTAGTTACCCCCATTACACAGATGAGCAGGGAAGCTGAGTGCCTTAGATGTGCAAGGCTGTAGGTCTGGGCTCCTGTGCTGCCAAAGGACGAAAGGGAAGGAAGCAAAGGGAGGAGACAGGGCTGAGGTGTGGGAGGGGAGGGCTACCCCAGGGCAGGGGACAAGTCCCTTGGCTCCTGGATGAAGGATTCTGGGGGCCCAGAACCAGGTAGGCTGATGACTGAGGGTCACTGGGCGGGAGTGGGGGTGGGAGGATGAGGGACATCTTGCTCACCTGGCCTTGGTGGAGCTTTGCCAGCACGAGTGTGTCTGTCTGCCCTCATCCACCCCCAGCTCAGCCCAGGACCTGGGAACATCAGGAAGAGCACAGGGAGGTTGAGTAGCCCTCGGCCTGGAGCTAGAAGGAGGACAGTTGAGAAGAGAGATCTGGGCCAGCTGGTGCCGGGAGCAGGAGCTTGTACCTTGTCCCTTATCCTGGGGAAAAAGGGGAGCCCCAGGAATGCTTTACAAATGGGAGGCACAAGGTTCAGTCTGTGCAGTACTGGTCCCAGTGCTTGAAGCCTATGGATCTGCTGTATTTGGAGTACGGGGGTAGACTGCTGGCAGGGAGTATATACAGGGGGAAAGTGAGTGCCTTAGATGTCCAAGCTATATCAGGGGTCCCCAGATTATGTGGCATGGGTCAAATCCAGCCCACTGTTTTTTTTGCACTTGTACAGCCCAAGAATAATTTTTACATTTTAAATTCTTGCATAATTTAAATGATTATGGGCCTATGTAATATCCTCCAAGTTGCCCCATAGAGCCACAAAGTATACAAAATATTTTCAATCTGGCTCTTAATAAAGATTCCTTACCTAGATCTAGGGAGGCTTCCAGTGGGTGGAAAGAAGGGACCGCTTCCAAAGACACTCAGGAGATGGGTCACAGGGCAGGGTTTATAGGCTGGCAGGAAAAGAAAGGGCTTCCAGTGGGCCAATAAATGCTGGACATACGGTGAACAGCCGGTTCACACTGGACATAGAGCAGGCATTTGGGGGAGAGGCAAAGAAGTAGCCAGAAAGGTCAACAAGGACGTGTCACCAAGGACTCAAGGCCCAGAAACAAATACTTTCCAGTGGGTTACTTGTTTACTCTGTTTCCTCTCCTCTGTAGCTCACACACTCACACAGGAAGGTAAGCTCCTCTCAAACAGTTGGTCTTGTTCTCAGCTGAGTCTCCAGCTCCTAGAAGAGTTGGTGTCCACGAACATTTGTTGATGAATGTCTTGTCCCATTTGACTAACTTGCTGTGTGGGCTCAGCCAATTTGCATACCCTCTCTAGGCCTCTATAAAGTGGGGTTTTACATTTTTCCTTCTTGGTGTTATGAGGGGAAGGTAGAGGTCTTCCTTAGGGACTGAAAAGATCCCCAAGTTTGGTTTTGCCTGCTGACAGGAGTTAAGGGTGATGAGGATGGTAGGAAGTTCTTTCTAAGTGCAAGGGCCTCTTGAGTGGGTTTTTCCTAACCTTAACATGCCAAGTTAGTTGCAAAAACCAGCATGTGCTGTTGTAACACATCCAAACAGAATGTGTATCCTACAAGTGAAAGACTTCCCCAAATCCACTATATATATATATATATGTATACATATATATATATATAATTTTTTTTTTTTTTTTTTGCCTCTAGCAGCACGGCTTATATGAAAGCAGCAGTAAAAGCACAGAGTCCTAACCACTGGATTGCCAGGGAATTCCTTCCAGGGAGCCACTATTAACAACTCAGTTTTATTCTCTATAAGCAGTTCTCTTAAGTTTTTCTTTTTTTTTAATGTTGACAATTTAAAGTCTTTATTGAATTTGTTACAATATTGCTTCCATTTTAAGTTTTTTGGATTTTTAGCCCCTGAGGCATGTGGAATCTTAGCTCCCTGACCAGAGATTAAACTCACACTCCCCCTGCATTGGAAGGAGTGGTGTAAAATATATATAACTTACACTTTGTCATCTGAACCATTTTTAAGTGTACAGCTCAGTGACACGACATTCATTCACATTGACTGTCATGATTATCCATTTTTAGAACTCTTTTCATTTTCCCAAACTGAACCTCTGTACCCATTAAACAAAAACTTCCATGTCTCCCTCCCTTAGCCCCTGCCATTCATGTGAGTGAATGTAGTGTCACTGAGCTGTACACTTAAAAATGGTTCAGATGACAAAGCATAAGTTATATATTTTTTACCATAGAAATTTAATAAACAAAACAAAGTGCCCTAAACACAACAACGTGGAGAGTCAGCTCCATGAAGGCAGGAATTTCTGTCTGTTGTTCATGACTGAACCACCAATGCCTGTCATATTATAGGTGTTCAGTGTTCTGTGAGCTCCAACCTATTTTCTCTGGTTTATGAATTTTACTACTGTTCAGATTGGGTCAAAAGTCCCCTCTTCCTGGAAGCCGGCCAGGAATGACAGACCCAATCTACTCTCTTTCACGTTCAGTACAACTGGAAGCTGACAATTTTAAGAGTGTGAGTGCATGGTATTGAGTAGAAGGAATGGGATGGGGTGGGAGAAATATTCTCTGAGAATGATGCTCCATTGGCATTAGGTTAGGGTCAGCCCCTCAGACATCCTGACCCTGAGATGAAGCCAAGATTAGCCTGCAGCAAGGGACTGGGAATTGTAGGTAAGAAGGTATTTCCTCACTTGACCAGGTCATAACCATGCTGCATCCTTGACCCATGGGCCAGCCACAGGTTGGCCTCTTCTTTCCTCCCTTCAGCAGCAAAGGGCGTGGTAGAAAGCATGTCTCCTTTTTCTTTGGGGTCCTGAAGGGTGTACATTAGAAAGTGTTAATCTAGTCACTTCTCTCCCAGGCATTTATTGAGCACCCAGTGAATACAGGCTACTTAACTGGACAGAGATGGGGGTGGAGGGGTAAAACTGGAACAAATAAGCAGCCTGGTACAGTGGGAAAAACTTAGTTTGGAGTTGGGTCTACTTGGCTTCAAATCCAGGCTCCCAGTGTGACACTGGACAGGCTACATTCTTTCTCCTTGAAGTCAAGAGAGTCTCACCCCTTCCTCCTGGGATGAGGGCTGGACAGGACAGTGCTGCTAGTTGTAGGAGGAGAGCTTGTTCCTTCATTCCTCTGATCACTTATCTTCCTGCTTCTGTTCCCAGCCCAGATCTGCATTGCTGTCTTCATAGGCCTCCTGTTCACAAGATTCTGGATCTTCAGTGTCCTGTATGCAGTCTGGTGGTACCTGGATCTATCCAAGCCGTGGCAGGGGGGCAGGCGCATTGAGGCCTTAAGGCGCTGCGTCATATGGAGGTACATGAAGGACTATTTCCCCATCTCGGTGAGTAATGGACATTTACAAATGTATCCAGTGATCACGCCAATCCCTGACACCTGAGTGCTTTTGAATCTCTGACTTTCTGACTCAGGGCACCTGAAGGCCATTTGGACACTTGACCCTGGACCCAAAGTTCAGACTTGAGTGGAACAGGATCATTGATTTGAATGAACTGACCTATGACTCCTTTTCTGAATCCCAGACAGACTAAAGTCTTGGATGTAAGCAGCTGGGCGAGGATGATTTATTGACCAGATAGAATGGGGAAGGTGATAGGGACACAGAGAGGTACAAGCAGGGACAGGTGTCCCTCCTCTGGAAACAGGAGAGTGAGTGGACAGTGCTGAGCCAACCTGAAGGGACCAGGTTGGGGGGTGGTCTTCCCAGACCCCATATCTACTTCCTCTGCAGGGTGCCTTCCCAGGACCTTGTCAGCAGAAGCTGGTAGGGTTTGCTGGGGCGCTAGAGGAGCCATGGGCCTGCCACAGGCAGAGCCCCTCATCCTCACCCCAGAATCTCTTAACTTTGAGATTCTGAATTCCCATCTCTCCCTCTCTTCTTCCTAGACCAGGGCTTACTCTTCTATGCCAGGAAGGTCAGAGTTTCCATGGGGAAGTGTTGTGACATCAGCCAGCAAGCCAAGGAAAAGCCATAAGCAGTTTCTGGCCTCAAGTAGAGCTTTCTGGCTTTCTTTGTGGATTCTGTCCCTGTGGTCTCACTCCACACTGTGAGCTGAATCCTAAGTCCATCAGGGAAGGAAAGGTGGCCTGCAAAGGGAACAGTGCAAGTGCAGGCCCAGAAGCGGCCAGGGCATGGTTTCTGAGCATTAGTGTGACTAAAGCTGAAGGTACACTAGGGATGAAGTTGGAGAGGTTTTTAGGAATAAGATAAGAGAGACCAGTGGGCTTCCCAGGTGGCGCTAGTGGTAAAGAACCTGCCTGCCAATACAGGAGATGCAAAAGATGTGGGTTCGATCCTTTTTTTGGGGGGGTTCGATCCTTGAGTCAGAAAGATCCCTGTAGGAGGGCATGGCAATTCACTTCAGTATTTTTGCCTGAAGAATCCCATGTATAGAGGGGCCTGGTGGGCTCCAGTCCATGGGGTCGCAAAGAGTCGGACACGACGGAAGCGACTTAGCACGCACATGTAAGGGAGACTAGTACAGCCTATTCCACAGAAATGAAGTCTTCAACTGAAAGCTCTCCAGTGGGCTGTCTTCCTGCTATCCTGGGGCTTCCAAAGACATATCTGACTCTCTTTGCACCTGGAGTTTCTGCCAGTTGCAGAAAATGATTCTGGGCCTGTCTTATTCACCATCCTCCTGCTTCTCCCCCAGAGAAGATTTCTCAACTGTGACACTACTGACAATGGTGGGACACTGGACACTTTCAGAAATTCTACCTGCACAGTGTTCAGGATTCTTGCCTACTTCAGGCCTTTGGCATCACACCCTACAGAAGGCGAGCAATACCACCTAGTAGCAGAGGGCTGGATGACGAGCACTTTAACTTGCTTGTCCAGGCCTGGGAGCCTGCAGGTGTGGGGCTATGGCCCAGATTCTGGATCCCTGCACTTCCCAGGAGACCCTCCAACTCTTCCACACACTTCTACAGCACAGGGCTGAAAGGGATCTTACGGTGGCTAGAAGGTTAGGGGGTCCCAGGTAAGGAGTCCGCACTCAGACTGGAGCTCCCCCACCTCCCCATTCATAAGCCTCTGTACTCTGTGTCAAATGAGCTTGTGTTTCTGGGCTGCCTTCAGCTCTTACTGATTTTATGAGCTAGGGTCTATCGGTGGAATTTCAAGCAAAGTTGGGAAACTATTATATTTCTGAGCATTGGATCTTTCTAAGTGCAACATTTGGGCTTCCTGAAGAGCTAATGGAGAATCAGGCATATTCCCCCAGGAGGACCAGTCTCCATTTGCTGTTCTCCCTTCACAGCTGGTGGCATTCTGCTTACATGGTCTTGCCCTTTGCTTTTCCACCGGATGAGTGATCGTGGCCGTCTTCCCCTATCAGGACAGGAAGAATTGCATTGTATGTCCCTATGTCTACACAGTGGCCCACAAGGAAGTATTTTGTAATTTGTCTAAATAGGCCCTGTTGATGGACATTTGACTGGATGCCAAGTTTTGGTATTACCAAAGGGGGGAAAAAAAAGCTTCAGTTAATAATCTTGTTCAGATGCCATTTTGCACAAGTGTGAGAAATTCTGTAGCTAAATTCCTCGGCAGTGGAATTGCTGGCTTAAAAGGTCAGTTACATTTTTCCATTCTAATACCAATAGATATTGCTTCATTGCCTTTAAGGGGGTTGTAACAAAATTATTTTCCTACTAGCTGAGAAAGAGAATTCATAAACAAGTACTTCAGTGTGGGGAGTCAGATATGTTTTTAAAGAAACATGCTGAGATGGATTCCTAAGGGAACACCTTTCACAATGAGAATAACCAGAATATCTCTGCTTGACCTTATTTTCACACTCAATAAATTCCCTCTGTATGAGTGAAAGAAGTTTGCCTTTTTCTGTGAAGCAGTGGTGCCTCTACCTAAGGTCCCCTCAGACTTTCTGCAAAGGGTCAAGGGTAACAGAGGGAGAGGTTGATCACTACAGTGATCAGAGGGAGTTTGCAGAGATCCAGTCAGATCAAGGACAGGACAAGCTGGGACTGTTCCACTGTGGTAGGGCAGACAGGCTCAGACTTCCAATGTGTCCCTTGGGTCCACCTCCAATGCTATCTCTTGGGTCCCTCCAGGCTGCTCTGAGATGGGCAGCCAGGCCTCTGGGGCCTGAAGGTAACAAGAATCCTCAGAGCCAATGCTGAAAAATTTCAGCTTGTTAACTAGATGATCTTTCACAGTGCCAAAGCTGAGCCTAAGTGGAACGGACTGCCCGTGCCTGGAAGTGCAAATTACAAGGCCTGGGTAGTCTTGTCAGGGAGCTTCCTGCCAGGGGCTTAGGGCTTGGATCAGGGGCCTCAGGGCCTCTGACTCTAAAGGCTGTGCCTCCCAGAGCACAGGGCTCTGTAAGGGGTGGACCCTGCAGTTCCTGGCAGAGTGGGAAAGGGGTTGGTCACACACAGAATCATGGGCAGTTATCTTTGCACATTGAAGCCTGTCCAGTAACTGGTGGGAGCAGCATTTTTTAAAAATTATTTTATTTTTGGTTGTGCTGAGTCTTTGTTGCTGTGTGTGGGCTTTCTCTAGTTGCGGATAGCAGGGATTAGTCTTCATCGCGGTGTGTGGTTCTCTCACTGTGGTGACTTCTTTTGTGTGGCATGAGCTCTAGGCACACGGGCTTCAGTGGTTGTGGCTTGTGGGCTCAGTAGTCGTGGCACATAGGCTTAGTTGCACCACAGCATGTGGAATCTTCCCGGACCAGGAATCGAACGCATGTCCCCTGCAGTGGCAGGCAGATTCTTAACCACTGGACCACCAGGGAAGTCCAGGAGCAACATCTGTTAACTCAGTTCTGCCCCCTCTGTCTTCACCCCACTTTGCCTGGAAGCTGCTAGTGATGAACAGCTCTCCTTCTACAATGTCTGGTGGTTTCTGGTGCACCCTCTGTGCTGCAGGACCGACCAGACCTGGGAAGAGCTGCCAATAGCCAGGGGAAGAGGTGGATAGATGGTAATGAAGGTCTGACACAGGGGGAACAGAGAGCCATCAGAGAGACACTTGCATTGTACAGAGGGGTAAACAGGACTAAGGCCAGCCTCCAGCTCTGCAAACTCTTTCAACCACCCTGATATAGCTAGCAAATTCTCACTCCCAGGTCCTAAGTGCTGAGTTTTCTCATAGGGAATTTTGTTAGAACAGGACTATTTGAGTGGCAGCCCTGTGTGGCCCTTGATGGTGTATGAACTATGCCAAAGTATGATTATCCTGTCCCGTAGTCTTGGTAATTCCAGGGAACTCACGGGCCTGAGATTCTCAGCAGAATGTAGGCAGGACAGGGTCAAATGTCCACATTTAATATATTGAAAGCTGGAGAGGGAGACAATTTGTCTGAAGCTCATAGCAAGTCTGAGACATAGATAGCAACAGGATCTCCCTGGGTGCAGTCACATACATATCTCCATCCTCCTAAGAACTGGAGGCTCAGAGAGGAGGAGCAAGTTACCCACGGTCACTCTGGTGCTGGCAGAATGGGGGAGGGTATGAGGTGCAGCTCCACTTCAGCAGGTTGCTGTCCCTGCAGCTGGTCAAGACTGCCTATCTGGACCCCTCCCGGAACTACCTCGCTGGTTTCCACCCCCATGGGATTCTGGCCACTGGAGCTTTTACCAACCTGTGCACAGAGAGCACTGGTTTTTCCTCACTGTTCCCTGGCATCCGCCCACATCTGATGATGCTGAACTTGTGGTTCTGGTCTCCTTTCTTCAGGGATTACATCATGTCAGGGGGTGAGTTTTCCCAACCCTGGGTAACCCAGCTGGGTGAGGGCTGCAGGCATGGAGGAGGGATTTTACAGAGGCCTGTCAAGAGTTCTATACTTCTTCCAAGTGAATGTGTGGTGGAGAAGGAAGCTAGATTCAAGGAATCACTTCCCACAGCTCTGTGCTCAGTGATACACTCAGTTGGGGGTTGGGAAGACCTGAAGGGCTCAGTCCCAGTCCTCAGGGAACTCACGATTGGGAACTGGAGTGGAGCCCAGCCCACATCTCTGCCCACGGTCCCTGCCCCTTCACCCTATACCTAACCACCTTTCTCTCTCCCCAGGGCTGGTCCCAGTAGACAAGGAGAGCGCTGCTCACATTCTGAGCAGGAAAGAAGGCGGCAACCTCATGGCCATCATTGTTGGGGGCGTCCAGGAGGCACTGGATGCCAGGCCTGGAGCCTACAAGCTGGTGCTGCGGAACCGCAAGGGCTTCATCAGGCTCGCCCTGACGCACGGGTATTGGGGAGAGGGCTCTGGGTTCAACTGGAGATTGGCAAGGATTGTGCTTTGGTGGGAAGACAGCACAGATGAATACACATCCTATTTTGGCAAGGAGAGTCACAATCCATGGACAGTGAAGATTGTGTTGGTGGTTGATGTAATGTTTCATTCCCAAATAGCCAGAGAAGATTCTAGAAGGGAGATTTGGTGATTAAAGGGAATAAGGTCAAGGGTCATATTACTGAAAACTTGCATTACATCTGTGTCTAGGGCTTTTAGGAGAATGGTGTTTGGGGCATAGCTTAGAGCTGTTCTCTTACCTTGAAGCATCTGTGAAGAATACAAGTTAACTGGGGAAGAAGAAATTTTTCCAGGAAGTTTGCATGTTTTATACCTGGAAGGACTCTGAAGCATTCTGTTCTCTTGTCATGGTGCAACTGGGAAGCCATGGTCCAGAGAGGAGCCATGACCTGCCTAAAATCACAAAGCAAGGCCGAGGCAGGTCTGAAGGACACCCGAGGCCTCCTACTTTTGTCCCAGGGCTCTGTGCTCTGCCCCAGTTCCTGCTCACTAGGTCCCTTCAAGAGGCTAGGGGACCAGCTTGTGCCTTCTTGCCCCTCCACACTCTCTCTCTCCTGTCTCCTCTAGGGCAGCTCTGGTACCTATCTTCTCCTTTGGGGAGAATGACATATTCAAGCAGGTTGAGAACTCCCGTGGCTCCTGGGTGCGCTGGTTCCAGGACCGACTTCAGAAGATCATAAGAGTCTCCATCCCTCTCTTCTATGGCTGTGGAGTCTTCCAGGACAGCTTTGGTCTTATGCCCTACCGCCGACCCATCACCACCGTGGGTGAGCCTAGACTCGGGCTGGGAGAGGAAAGGGCTACACAGCAAGGGGCTCAGGCTGGTGTTGCAAAGGGGACTAGACATGAGCTGAAGACATCATTGACTTTCAGGGAGTTCACGTTCCAGAGCGTGAAACAGACACACAGGCAGATAACCCTGATGAAAGGAAGTCTGGGATGGGAAATCTAACCAAGACAAAAGAAAAACAGTCACCACTACTGATTACTGGGCACCTGCTGTGTGTCAGGTACTGCACTGACTACTTACATGCAGCAGCTTAGTTTTCCCAACAACCTTGTAGGCAGTGATTATTATCACCATTTTACTAATGGCAAACTGAGACTCAGAGAAGGTAAATCACTTCCAAAAGATAACCCTGTCCTTGATAAAAAGTTGAGGTTTGATCAGGGTCTATTTGATTTTTTATGATGCCAGAGAGGAGGGTTTAATTCTGACAGGAGGATCTTGTAAGGCTTATTGGAAAAGTGGATACCAGGGAAGGGTGTTCCAGGTCTGATAGTATTGTGTGTAAAGTAGCAATCAGCAGGCTGTGAAGGGGAGCCTGAGGGATTTCCCTGTAATTAATGGGCATGGGCCTTAGTGCATGGACTTAGCACCATCTTTTCAGCTATTTGATTGTCTCATTTGCTTTCGTCTTGGATTCCAACTAGGTTTCAGTGGCAAAGCTTGTAAAGTGAGGTCTTTTCATCTCCACTCATCCAGTCATCTCTTAGTTGAGTACAGACTTGGCCAACCCTCTACACCATGACTTTCCCTCAGTTGTCTGGTAATATTTTCATGAATATAATTCACAACTGATGCCTCCAGAACCATTTTTCAAGAGAAGACAGGACAGCTGCTTTCTGAGCCTGGCAGAACTTGAGGAAGGAGGTTGATAGATCCTCCCATGTCCTCCCTAGAATGGGGAGCACTGTAGGACATTGTGGAGGGAGAGGAAGTAGAAGGCACTTGGGCTGTGGGCCACCTCCTCCCAGACATACAGACACTTCCACTCATGGCATCTGAGACTCCCAGATCCACGTGTCCATGAGGCTAAGAGCACATCCTCAGGGCTTATAACCAGTCACTGGTTCTTCATAGGTGACCCTGACCAATTTACTCAACCTCCTGGAGTCTCAATGCCTCAGCTGTCAAATAGGAATACTAGCAGGTTCTATCTTCTTAGGATTGTTAGGATGACCTAAGAGATAATGCATTAAAACACCAGCTGGTGATATTGTTAATATATCAGAATCTTGGAGTTGCCCTAACATCTTAGAATCTATGACCCAAAATAAAATTGAAAGGGAAGGAGAAAGAGTGCTTACCTGCTCAGATGACCATTGTAGTGGGAACACCAAGGTCCCTGCGCCTTCATAGGATCCGGCTATGAGCCACCACGCACCTCTGTGTCTTGCAGTGGGGAAGCCCATCGAGGTGCAGAAGACGCCACATCCCTCCCAGGAGGAGGTGGACAGGCTGCACCAGCGCTACATGCAGGAGCTGGAAAACCTCTTCGAAGCCCACAAGCTCAAGTACAACATCCCCAGAGACCAACACTTGGAGATCTGTTGAGTGCCTCCCCAGAGGAGGGGCTCCTCCAAAGGGCAGTGCTGGCATTAGGGAGGATGAAGGAAGATTCTGTGATCCCAGAAGGCTTCCTGGAGGTGTCTGTTGAACACATCTCCAGAGCCTTCACTGACTCCTGCATCTCCACCCTGTGCCAGGCCTTGGGTCACAGCTGGCTCCATGGCAGAGGAGACCAGACTCTGGCATAGGTGATTTGCTCTCCTGCACTGACTCTTCTGTAGTGGGCCCTCTCCTTCATTCTGCCCGCCTGAGAAATGGGAGAGGATGATGTGTGGTGTCTCTGTCCTCTGTGGTCCTGTCACTCAACGGCCAGGATAAGAGCAGCTCCAGTTAGCAGGTTGCTCTTCCTCTGTCTTGAGTGACAGCACAGATGCAGCCCCCAGCTGCAGCCCTTTCTCCTACAAGCTCCCTCATCCGGCATCCTGCCTGTCCCAGCTCCTCCCTCCCTGAGATGAAGAGGAGGGCGAGGCCACAACCCCCTGACTTATTCTGGCACTTTTGAATTTCTGGATCCTCTGAGCCCCAGAGAGGCTGGGAAGTGGGGAAGGAGACTGTGGCTTTATCACTGGCTAAATGACCATGGCAGACCTCTTCACCCTCCCTCTGAGTTTCAGTTTCCCCTAAGGACTAAGATAACCTCTGACCTCAGCTGTGACGTCACATTGACTGAGAGCTCCATGAGTTAGCTGCGACTCCTCCTTTGTAACTTCAGCCCTGACTTTGACACAGAAGGGAGCTCCATAAATGTCAACTCATCAAGGACAAAATTCTGTTTCAGCCTTCTTCTCTTCTCTTACCCTACTCCCCAACTGGGAACACTGGTCAAAGTCTCCCATTTTTGTCCCAACCTGGCCCTGCAGCCCTGCTGCTCTGTGTCCTCTTCCCAGATGGTGGATCGGATGGGCCAGAGAATGGCATGTTACTTCTTCCTCCCTGACCCATCAGCTCCAACTTACCACCTCTGGCCTGTTCTGTGGGAGACAAGGGGGAAGCTGTGTACAGACACAGGGCAGACCAGCCAGAGAAAGAACATGAGGAGTGAATGGTTAGTGTCTGCAAGCAGGGCAGTAGGGGACAAGCCTCTGATAAGGAAAATTCTGGGTCACTGGCTCTGGGATATGTGTCATGAGTGATTGGACAGGATGGTAGGGTAGGACCAGTACTATGACCGCCCACATCTGAAGTGGGAAAGCAAGTTCTTTTCCCTCCAGAAGCTAATCACAGCAATAAGTACAAATGGGGTGTTGGGGGTGGGGGGAGTGGGGAGAAATTCTGTGGATGTAAATTTACGTTCAGTGACCCTGGGCAAGACCCATCCCCTTTCAACCTCAGGTTTGTTATCAGGGAAATAAGAATTACAGTAGCTAACTTGGGTTTGTGAGTGGAGTAGATAATATGAGATGGTTGACCATTCCACATTCTGTGAGGAGTGCTGGGGAGTAGGAGTAATTAGCAGGCGGGCCATAAATGTACGTAGCATCTCTTGATGGCCTGTTCTGACCCTAGGAGGTGGGAGCTATAGGGTCCCAAGAGAGGGGGGAATCAAGTGCAGTGGGGTTGAGAGGGGAAGTGATGGTTTCCATCAGGGGAAGAGGGAGGAAGTGGCAGGTAAGCAGGGCCATTAAGAAAGGGCTAGATTTTCCAGGAAAGAAGTACCGCAGTTTTCTACTGCTGGTATTGAACCACTTCAGACCTTAGTAGCTGAAGGCAGTAAGGATTTATTAAGTCCACATCTCTGTGGATGGCTGGGTGGTTCTTCTCCCTCTTTCAGCTCTCCCACCTGCTGTGTCTTGGTACCTGCTGATCTCTTGGGACCAGGATGCTCTGTCTCCTCAATTTGATCATCCAAAGGTCACCTCCTTGGCCAAGCCCTGCACACCCACCACCTTCAAACTAAAACCCTGCTCTCCCAATCCACTGCCTGATTCAAAGTTAGTTATCCCTCTTGTAGGGAGGTTTGGTGTGAAAGATCCATGACTGATGATAGGTCAAGTTTGTCACCAGAGAGCTGGAAGCACCTAGGGGTTCCCGCTCAGTTCACTCAGGAGGAGGCAGCCAACCTGCTCCAGCAGGTACAGTTTCAAAGCCTAGAGTGGGGAGTCACTCCCAAGCTCTCCCAAGTGGCTGCTGGCAGAAGGCTTCAGAGCCCTGCAGGTGGGCCTCTCCATCGCGCTGCTAATTGACACTCACCAGGATTCCCCAGAGTAAGCCAGTCACCAAGGAGAGAGAGACTAAGAGGGAGCCCTAGACAGAGAGAGAGAAGCACTACTGCCTTCTAGTACCTAGACCCTGAGTCACTCACCATCAAACCTGCCTTATTTCTATTTGTTTGACCGGAGGCCCTAAGCCCAGTCCACTCTCCTCCATAGGAGGGTGTGACACCTGGAGGTGAAGTCATTGCAGGCATCTTGCAGGCGCTACCACAGTGACAGCCAATGAGCCCTCAGAGAATGGACTGGGCAACCTCAACACTGTGGGGTTGCAGGAGGCTGTCTGCCTGGAGGACACAGGCTGAGATGCCCACACAGCAGGGCCCCAGGTGGGGCAAAGGTGTGAGCATAGGTCAGAGGTGGGAATCATG